AGTAGGGGGTGCTGCTCCTGTGCCCCTTTTTCAACATCCTGCATCTGCTCCTGGAGCCTTCTGGGGGTAAAGAGACATTTTAAAGCAACGTGAGTGTTGCAGGTGATGATGGAGCCTCTGATATCCCTCCTGCTCCTGAGGCTGACGTACCCATATCTAGTCTTTGGGTATGAGCCTGGGGGCTGGACTCAGAGATCTTCCGAGATCCCTTCCAGCCCTAACGTCTATGAAATCTAATGTCTATGAAAGTATCCACGTCACATACTTGGTGGGTAGGAGATTTGCTTTGTTTTGTAGTAGCCAACAAGGGCTGTGTACTTCCCCCCAACCCTGACCATTCATCAGTTTTCAAGGTTTGAGTGGGGGGAAAAAAATTGAAACACAACAGCAGAGCAACTATGGAGGATATTGAGATAACCCCCTACCCCAGACCCATGAAGACAATATCAGATCAGGCAGGCAGCCAGTTTGTTTCTCTATTTCACCTCTTCCCTGCTTTGAATATTGGCTGGGCTTTCCCCCGTTCTCAAAGTTTCATTGAGCCACATGATCTTCTGTAAAAGGCAACACGTTTTTGGTTTTTGTTTTTAAACTGCTTCAGATATTCAAGCAGATGCCGGTTTATGCTTTCAATTCCATACTGTGCAAACAGCAGTAAGAGTTCCCTTCTTGTCTCAGCAGGTCTTACAAATGGGTTGCAAAGCACCACAACATATAGGGCCCAAAGAGAGAAGGGAGAACGATTCTCCCTTCTGTGGGATGCCCACTTTTACATATACAGCAGGCAAAATATTAGGAGAAATCCTCTCAGATTTCAGCAGTCCCTAAATATTTTTAACAGCTCAGATTTGGTGGGAGGAGGGGTAAAAAAAGTTAAGAGACTCTAAATGCAGCAAAATTCCCAATGGGAGATCGGGAATGAGAATCAGGAATGAGAATTAAAGTGAGAATTTTGTCTGAAAACTGCAGCTTTTGTATAATATCTGGCTGGGGACTTTTCAGATGCTGTAACATTATATTCCTGTTATATTTCCAGATCGACGCTTTGAATAGGGGTAACCTCTGGGAGCCCCAGTCCTGGGGCAGGACCTCATAGTGCTAAATTCTGTACAAACACATTAATAAAAGAGCTGTTGCATACCCAAAGACTAGATAGATAGGCAGAGAGCATTGGTATCACTCAAACAAGGGATAAACATGGAGTGTGCACAAACTACAGTACTGTGCTCCGGGGCACAAAGTTAGACCTGAAACCAAACAGCCTTTTTTAAAGAGTTGAACCGAACAATCAGTTTATTAGTGAATGGACTACATCAATGGTCCTCAACCTTTTTAGACTCAAAGCACCCCTTGTTAGACTCAAGGCACCCCTCGGAAAATGCCAGCTCTTAGTTTTCACTAGTTTTTGACTACAGAAAAGCTGCTCTCAGTATTTTTCTATTGCAAAGAACACAAAAAGACCACGGCAGATCAGAGTGTTTTCAAAACAATGGATCCCTATTTGAAATTTCTGAGCTTATCTTGTGAATTATGTTTGTACGCTAACAGTACTAAAACCGCATGGCACCTAGGGGCACCCTTGAAAGACTCTCGAGGCACCCCAGGGTACCGCGGTACCCTGGATAAGAATCACTGGATTGAGACTGTGGTGCGAGTTTTCAGACGGTGCAACACATTGTGAACGATTGCCCACTTCGATCATTTAATGGCGATCTAAAATCAATCCATGCAGCTACCCCTGAAACAGTCAAATGGCTATCAAATTTACATATTAAACTATGCATGTTGTATGAACATTGCAATCCTAAAATGTCATGTGAAATAGAGAGATGGGATTAGATGGAAGACTCTATATCAGGGGTGGGCAATTATTTTGGGGGGAGGGCCGCTTACTGAGTTTTGGCAAGCCATCGAGGGCCGCATGACAGGCAGCCAGGGGCAGGTAAATATTAATTTTCAAAATTTTTAGGGGCTCCGCGGGCTGAAGAGAATGGCCTGGTGGGCTGCATCTGGCCCACGGGCTGCATTGTGCCCTTCCCTGCTCTATATGCACAGTGCTCCTGCTTTTTCTTGAGAACTAGCAGCTGGGAGTTTGCTAGAAGAGGTGTTGTTGCATCTTGTTCTATGAACAAAAGAAATGAGCAAAAACCCAGGGCTCTTGTTTGGCACTAACATGCTCATGGAAAATCGTAATACTCGGTTTTCTTTCTTTCTCTTGCCCTCCATTCATTATTTTGGTTTATTATTTATGTTTGTGATTAGCCAGGACCCTGCTCCCCCCACCCCGGCAGGTTGCTTCTCCTTTCCCCAGAGGGCTGGCTTCCAGATACCTTCCCCTATACAAGCATGGCTGGCAGGTACCTGAGCGCTGCATCTTCTCCTTTTTTACCTTTAGCCCCTTCCCAA